TGAACATCTTTTCTCAGGAACTCAGATTTGTCCAGTTGGATTTTAAATTAAACTGATTCAGTTTTTGGAATATTTTCTAAGATGCAAAATGTGTTCGTCTAGGGATTTTGAAAAAACAATGATATCATCCATATAGACAAAACAAAAAACGTTGATATATTCTAACAATACAGTATTCATCATACGTTGAAAGGTAGCAGGGGCATTTTTTAACCCAAATGGCATACGGACATATTCATAGTGGCCATTTTCAACAGTAAAAGCCGTTTTTTCTATAGACTCAGGATCCATAGGGATCTGGTGGAACCCTTGTGCCAAATCAATAGTAGAAAAATACATGCTTTTGCCTAAATTTTCCAAAATTTCTTCAATTAGTGGGAGTGGAAATTTATCTTCATTGTTATTTCATTCAGTTTTCTGAAATCAATAACCATCCTATATTTTTTAACACCGGATACATCCATTTTCTTAGGAACTATCCAGCAGGGTGATTGATAGGGTGAATTGCTTTGTCGAATGATTCCATCATTCAATAACTTGGAAACTTGATTTTGGATTTCCTTTTTGAGATGATAAGGATATCGATAATTTTTTACATAAATTGGGTCTTCTTTTTTAACCTAATTTTGTGTGCAGTGGCATTACAGGGAGTTAATGGTTCGTTAGGCTTGAAAAATACCTGTTTGAATTGCTTGCAGAGCTTAATAATCTTTTCTTTTTCTTCACTATTCATATGAGACGTACGAATTAAATTTTCAACACGTATATTGGATTTTTCAGTGGAAAATGGAGATTCTTTTCAATTAGAAAATCATCAAGAGGTTCAGATAAAAATGGGTTGGAAACATCAAGAAGTTTATGTCAATTGGATATTGAATAGCATTATTTTCTATGTTACAGATACATTCAGGAAAAATTCGTCAGAATTTTGAATTTCAAAGGTGGAATAACAACAGAACCATTATCCAAATTTCGGATAATTAATGATTTTTTCGGGAACTATACTGAACTGGATTGTTTTCTCGAATTGGCTTAAAGGAAGTGTTATAAGTAATTTTACATTTATCAGTAAATCTGATGTTTAGTCAAATCAATAGAGCAATTAAGTTTGTAAATCATAGAATCCTAATAAGCAGTCATAACGTGAATGCCAAGGAAGAATTAAAAATTCAATTTCAGTTTTATTCTTCCATTCAGAAAATATGGGAATTTTACAGGCATATTGACCTCTAAAATTGGACGTACATGAGTTAATTTCAAAAGGATGATCATAAATACGATCTGGAAAATATTTAAAAGCAATTTCTGGATTGATCAGGGAGGATGATGCACCAGTATCGATTAAGATGATAAGATTAAACTGAGAACAAAAAATATACGGAAGGTGGGGTTTTTGATAATTATTTATATCTAAGTCAAATTTTGAGACTGGCTCGTCGAAGGAAATTTTCTTCGTCATTGTTTTCAAAATAAGATTCATCGGGGATATAGTCTGAATCGAAATCTTGGGTATATTCCTCAGATTCATATTGTGGCGTTCCTGCAAAAGTTTGTTCTTCCTCATTTTCAAGATGAGTAATTTCTTCGACATAATAATGGTTTGGTTTGGGACCTACTTGAAAGGCATTAACTCTAGTGGGCATTTGTTGACGATATGGGTTTTGCTGGGGTTTCGGTGTGCGTGTTGTAGATACAGACATAGGTATAGGATTACTTTTTTGTTGACCTGGAATGGGTTTTTTGGAAAAAACATTCTGTGGTGGTCTGAAAGCTTGAATGTTTGTAGGGTAATGAGGTTTAAAATTTTGTTTAGGTGGTGGTAGTTGCGTGGGACCTGTAGGGAAGGTTTGTTGTGGCTCTAGCCAAGTTTGACTATTTTGGGCTCTAAACTGATTGGGCTTTTGAGAAAAATTAAAATTAGACCTTTGGAAATTTTGATTTGAAGCTTGTACTTTATTCTGAGACTGAGGCTGTTGTCGTTTTATAGGCTCGTTCTTAAGAAATTTTTATAATCAACTTGCATTTGCAAATTATCATAATCACGACAATATTGAACACAAGAATCAATTAGTAGGATTTTTGCTGTCTTACATAAGACCTATATGGTTCATTCAAACCAGAGATAAAGGAGCTCAAAGACTGTCTATCATAGTCTCTCAATTTAAAAGCGATATGATCGGATTATCATGGTATTCCAAATTTGCAAATTCTTTCAGGCTCTGTACCTTAAATTTAATTTCTTGATAAAAATCTTCATATTTTTGGTTAGGTTTCTGAACTGACGTATATAAGGCGGTGAGAAGAGTTTCTTCATTTCTAGGATCTTTATATTTGGATAATAATGATTTTAAATCTGGCCAGGTTCTCGGACTAGTTAGATGCTAAATCTCTTACTTCGCTTTTCAGCTGAGAAATAACGTATTGGAAAGCATACGAAACAAAAGGTGTATTAACAAATTCTGCAATAAACTTTCTGAATTATCCAAAAAATAAATTAGATCTCTGTGACCTCCATGATATTCTGGTACCATATACTTAGCTACATTGAATTTAATTTGTAAATCTTGAAGAGACATGGTTGACTGATTAAAATTAAGACGTGAGGGTGTCAAAATAACTTGTCTAACAGTGTATTTTCGACTACAGATTCAAATTCAGAATCGGACATTAATATATGCAATTAAAGTCACTAAATAAGTTTACTTATAGATAACTTTTACGAGTATATATAGATGTAAAGCAATAGAGGGCGAAAAAGTTTCGAGAAATAAATGGAAATATCACTGAGTACAGCAAAAATTGTAAATGTTGTTTCTTACGCTACACTGGGCACTAGCAGCTTCATTTGGAGAGATCTGAGATACCTCCTTGGGCCAATACAGCTCCTCCTGGTTGACAGCTTGCCTGCCGTGGATCCAGCACCTCGCTCCTGTCAGTTCCTGTCGTTTTCTCAAGTGTCGTTGCCTGCTCCCAAAATACTTAGCAAGTATTTCGGCCTGGTACTTCGATGGTGATGTGCCTGCTCGGTGTAGCCTTCGAAGTTCTTTGTGATCGACGTCAAAACGATTGAAATCGTACCCGAACACACCGGACGATTTTTTGCACTTTTTCGGTCTCGATTGAGCGATACTCGTGAATCAATACCGCCGATTATCGATTCGGTACGCCGATATCCTGTTCGCAGCGCCAATTAAGAATGTGCAAACAACGAACGACTTTTTAAAAAAGCGACTTTATTTAACAGAAGACGAATGAGTACTGGTCACCTTGGTTTACATGCATCTCTTACTTATAACCTACGCTAGAACAAAGGAATTGAAAAGTGCAAACCTAAGCAACTCTACATATTAGATCATCATCATAGCAGTGCCGTAATTGGCATGGACGGCATATATATGCCCTCCATGCCCGAGCGGTCGTATGAGCGGTCGTTTCTTGCGAGTTTGAACTCGTCTCTACGTTATGTTACAGTCGGGATTAGCAAGCGCGCACAGTCATTTAGGGTTAGGATGCATAGAACGCTGAACGCAACAAGCAGCATAGTGAGTGCATTAGTTTTCAAACTCTAAAAATGAGTAGCCGATCTAAAAAAATTGTAGAATTGGCCCTTCAGATGGAGGAGCATACAGGTAAGATTTTATATGAATATAGAATTACATTCTACGCAATATTGTTGCAAATTTAGTGGTTTTTGCTAGTAAATCGTAGTAAGTTCAGTTCATTTATTTACAGATGATGAAAGCGATTCGGATCCTTTCAGTGCAGTTGATTCCGATTTGGATCCTATGTTTCTGCCATCTAGTAATGACGAACTATCTGATAGCTCTGACATATCTCTTACGGAAATAATAGGACAGAAAAAGAAATTTACAAAAACGACAGGGGAAAGACCAGAACAAGTATACAATTTTGAGAATCAACCGTGCTGTTCAAAATCACTTCCAGTGGCCGAATTTCAAGAAGCTGGGGTACAAAATGAAGACGGGACACAGAATCTCAATGTTTCATCGACTGAAACTGGAGACAATCTTGAAAACGTGTTAGATGAGGAAGAAGCTGCTGACCAGAATGAACACACTTGGAGAGAGCCTGTGGGCAATCACCAAGTGTTTGATTATTCTGCCGAAAGCGGTTTACACGCAGGTTATGCTGCAGTTCTTATCAACAATTTATCTCCATACAGCTGCTTTCGTTATTTTGTCGATGATGAAATCATAAATGAAATGGTAAATCAGACCAATCTATATGCAACCCAAGTTTTGTTCGAAGCTGAGGATGTGAGTAGAGAATCAAGGTTACATCGTTGGGTTCCAACCGATAAAGGTGAGATGCTAAAATTTATTGGCATTGTAGCATACATGGGCATGGTTAGGATGCCATCATTAGAAAAGTATTGGAGTACTGACGAACTTTTCCAGATATCTATTATTCCAAAAGTTATGTCAGAAATAGATTCCAGCTGCTCTTACGAATGTGGCACTTCTCTGATAATAACGACTGTCCAGAGGGTGATCGTTTGCATAAAATCAAACCTTTATTGGATGCGTTGGTGAAGAAATTTCAAGAAATTTATACACCTGGTAGAACATTTTGCATTGACGAGTCTGTTGTTCCTTTTCAAGGCCGTCTCCTATTCAAACAATACATTCCAAACAAGACGCATAAATATGGCGTGAAATTGTTCAAACTGTGTAGCGATAATGGATACACATGGAATATAAGAATATGCTGGCAAAGAAAAACAAGAGAGAGATGCGTCTGTGGGAACAAATATTGTGCTTAAGTTGTCACAAGACTTACTTGATACAGGTAGAACTATTGTTGCCGATAATTACTACACCAGTCTCGAGCTAGTGAATATACTTCTTGACCATAAGACACATTATATTGGTACACTAAGAGCAAATCGGCGAGGCAATCCAAAAGAAGTTATTCTGAAAAAACTAAAGAAAGGCGAAATTTTTGGGCTAGAAAATGGCAGAGGTGTGTGTGTGCTGAAGTGGAAGGACAAGAGAGATGTCCTTCTTCTATCCACTAAGCATACCACCGAAACCGTAGATGTTCAACGACGTACTGGTATTGTCAAAAAGCCACGAGCAGTGATGGAATACAATGAAGCCAAGTCGTCGATTGACCAATCTGACCAATGGCAAGCTACCATTCACCTGTAAGGAAGTCTCTAAAGTGGTATCGAAAACTTGCCATTGAGTTCCTCTTGGGCACAGCGCTTGTAAATGCACACATAGTTTATAATCTGCTAGCAAACAAAAAATTGAAGATTCCAGAATTTAGAGAAGAAGTAATTAGGTCTCTTTTTACGGATCACGGCGATGCAGGGGAACTTGATGTACGTCAGGAAAAAATAACCAAGAAGACAGCCAAAATCCATACATTGTGCAGGAAAGAAGGTCAATTTGACAAAGTGAGAAAGTACTGTAAAGGGTGTTATGCCAAGAAATTGCGAGGAGAAATAACTAAAAACTGCGTGAAGAAAGTTGTAACTTTCTGTGGAGTGTGTGACGATCAGCCACATTTTTGTCTGAACTGTTTCAATACCACTCATGCAAAGTAAAATGAACCGTTATTTTGTTTATACAAGTGAATCTAAGCTTTTTTGCCCTATGTCTGTTACATTTTGTAGTGTGATTTGAGTTTGAACAATAAAAATGCATATGACAAATCTGGGTAACTTTTTTCATCAAATCAAACAGATATACATGAATTCGGATCAATACCCTAGGCCCGTATGCCATAGCGGTCGAATTGCTCGCTTATACTGATTCTGAGTTCGACCGCTGGCACGCAGAGAATATAAACGTAGCACCGTACGATAGCGGTCGTATACGACCGCCGTGCAGAATAGGATACATATTGAGCGGTCGTCCGCGCCCGCCGTGGCAGTGAACCTGTTAATCCCAATACTTTTCATATAATGACATTTGGGAATTAACTTTCAGAAACATAATTTTTCTTTTCATTATGTTGTATTTTCTAGGTTAAAAAACCTATGACATTGACTTAACATCACAAAACAAAAAACATTTACACTGAAAAAGGAACAGTCCCGTGCTGTCCATAGGCGAACACGATTGATTTATGGCTGGCTAGAGATGATCGATATATCGGTACCGGCGACCTTTCCCGGTGACTTCAATGGTCGCCGTTAGTCCCGGCGACCTGATTCTCCATGAAGCAGCGACCCAGATCGCTGTTTGGAAGTATCGGTAACTACTGATCGGTAGCTGTAACGCTGTTTCGGTCGCGGTCGCTGCCAGGAAGCATATACACATCACGTTCGCGATCATCGCGCGGGAAGTACAGGGTCGCTACGGCGTAGCCTAACCTATTTTGTTAGTTTTTATTGTTATTGTTGTGAGTTCCTGTTTCATAGAAAAATGTTTCGTTTATTAAGCAATGTTTAACATATAAAAGAAGCATTTTTATACTACATTTGTTATGTTTTAAAAGTTTTATTTTGACTGGTAAAACAGTTTTTGTTTTCCTTTTTAAGATTCATAGAAAGATATTTTATGTATTTTTATGATTTTATGTGTTTTGTGCTCAATATTGTTAAAAACAAAAACCTTAAATATAGTTTAATTCAAATCTTCAGGAACCTGAACATCTACACCTCGTTAATATCAATGGATAACAGCCGCCAAATATCGAGTAATGTAATCAGCGCCAGGGAGTCGCTGGCTGCTGGCAGCGACCATAGATAAGCAGTGACCTAAAGCGCTGCTAAATCTACCGGCGACTTTAAGGTCGCTGTCACCGATATCCCGGCGACTTCCAAGTCGCTGCTAATATCATCTCTATTTATGGCAGTCAAGCGCTATTTTTTTGGCACGTCACGTGATTGCCAGATTATAAGCAACGTTAAATCTGAGCTTATTATACAATTTTATAGAGGACATTAATACTGTATGCAAGATTTTATAACGCCATCTGTGTTATTAACGACAGATGCGACGTTGCCGGCTCCGCACATAAATCTGAGTATGTTATAAAATTTTATAGATGGTATTTTTAATGCTATATGGAAGATTTTATAACGCCATGTTAACTGACAACTCACAACAGATAATGTCAGATGTCAGATACCAGGTACCAGATAACAGATAACAGATCAAAGGTGATAAAGGATAGATAATGATTAGAGATAGGGATAAAGTATATCATTAACATTGCATTAGCATACCAGCAACTGCGCTACGTGAGGTTTTAAATAAAGACATCAACATACAAATTTTGCATAGCGTTAGCATGCCAGCAACCGCGCTAGTCGACTATATTAAGCGGTGGTCGATTGTTTTTCGTAGAAGGCCACGTGACGCTAGAGATTCAGGCCGTGCGACGTCGACGCGGTTTTTCCGGTTTTTTTCCCGGTTCGCGAAACGTTCGCGCAAGGAAAGGTACCTTTTCGGAAAGTAGAAACTCGACGCTTTACCGGGGAGCGGGAACCGTCGCGGTGAGAGGAACGGATCGGATCGAAAACGGCCGGTAAAGTCGAAAAATCGACCGTTTGTCGGGCGGTACGCGGCGTTATTTCACACTCGTTTCGCCGTTTATCGAAATATCGACTCGAGATCGGTCTCGTTCGATAGCTAAACGAGAAATACGTGCCTATCAGCTGAATCCGTTCGGTTCCGCGTCTCGGTTTTTTTTCTAGGAATGTTCGAAAAAAAAGCGACAAAAATGACGAATCGCCCGGAAAACTACGATATCTCCCTTATGCCGAAGAGAAAAGGAATTTCGCGCGCCGCGTTTCGTACATCTCGGCGAGCGCTACAAATTACGCGGAGAGACGTTTTTTCGTTTACGGTACCCGTTTCGAATAAACGAACCTCGAACGTCGTCAAGAATGACTTTTTGCGTATAAAGCACGCTGCTTCGCCGTCGATCAGACATCTCCTCCGAAGATAAAGGAGCTACGAACCTGACGATTTTTGCGTGAGAAAGCCCGGACATCGGACACAAAGATAGCGTCTTTGTTTTTCCTTTATCCCTTGTCGTTCGAAAGTTTCGATTTTTCAAAAATTGCCCGACAACACGCTACATTTCGATGCGTGGAAAAGTTATTTTGTCATCCGGCTCTGTCTTCCCTATTACTACCGTACGTGAGCGAGTAAAAATTATACAGCTATCGAAAAATAACGATAATGAGCTGACGAAACGATTCTGACCGTCAGAATTACCGTCAAATTTCGAAAAAGTAAACTTTGAGCGCCTCAAAAGTACCGATGACAACCGTTTTTCGGCGTACTTTGTCTTCGTCGATACGGACCTGCGTTACGGAGCGACATGGCTACGATTTTTTTTCGCAAAACGAAAGACCAAAGTCTCCTGATTAAACCGACATACGACACGTTACCCGATCGCATTTTTTAAACACGGCTGATTACAAAATTCAAAGATATGTACACATTTTTAGTTTGACGTTTCAATTTTGAATTTCCGCTCCAGATCCCCGGATTCCTGTTAGGGGGGGGTATTGTAGATACGATCGTATTACGAAAGTGAGCGCGTGCGAGCGGAACGTCCGAAACGTGCTATTTTCGGCTTTATGTCGGTCGCTTCATCGAATATAGGATCACGCCGAATACCATTGTCCTTTTTTACGCGTGAAAATCAACATTTTCGAAAAGATTCAAAATTTCTATATTCCATTGTCTAAACGGACCGGACTATAGCCATTAAAATCGTATGAATCTAGTAGTTTTTTATGTTTACAGATTGCGATGTTTACCGCCAGAGGCTGCAATTATTCTTTGACGTTTATCAGTTTATTGAAATCATCATCGGTTTATAATACGATAAAAATATGATTGTAAGCCCCTATTCATGTTATAATTTTACAATATGTCATAAAGCTCCGCTTTTCCAACCGATTGATATAAAGCATATGTCTGATTGCATCACCTCCTATTTCTAACCTACAAAGTATGAATGTAAACATTATCGAAATCTTAATAATGAGGCTCCCGTTAATAAGGATTAATTAGAAGCTTAGAACAAGCAATCACAACTACACATAGTGAAAGTGTTGTGAAGTGTTTACAGTGTATGTATTTCTATGGCAAACGTAAGTAGTCTCAATCACGTTTCATTTGAATTTATTACTTGTTGATTAATGCAATTAAAACTTGAGCGATGCTCTCTGTTGTCTAAACAATCATTCAGAATAATATGTAACCATTCAAATTTCTGTACAAGTGATGAAAATGTTGATTACTTTCATGTTTTGAATGCAAATGGAATCATAGCTCACTTTTACATAGGCATTTGTGTTAGGTGTGAGATTATGTCAGTGCACTATTTCAAGTTTGTGACTACTTCTATGAAGTTCAGTAAGAGTTCAGTCTTGACCCTCAGTTCAATTTATCTAAATATGTAGACCTATTAGCTGGCTAACAGTGCTACATTATTATAGAATTCTCTATTACATAGGAGGATCTATCCCTTCGATTGGCACATATTATCAAGCAGATGAAGGAATATGCAAAGCGCTGAAAAATAGCATTGATAATCACTACTACCAAAGTTTTCAAAATTACTAAGACTTTCACAGCCACTGCAGTTGTTTATTTTGATCTCAATGCAGAATGTATGTACTTCGATTTAGAATGTAGCTGCTTTAAGGACTTGTCAAAACAACAGACACCATTACTTGTCAAAATTTGTAAGATAAATACTCTTGCACAGTATAATCGTAACTTGGTATAGACATATTTGTGATATCGCTTAGATTAAGCCTGCCAGGGGAGTGAAAGTTACCTATACGAAACGCAAATACAAGATTGCTTTCTCAATTTTTTTTCAATTCAACCTCATAGAAGTACATATTTGTTGAATAGCTTTGAAAAGATCGAGGGACTACCCTGCTGGAGTACTGAACTCTACATTAAAATAATTTATGATGCCATGTGTTGTATCTAAAAAAAGCTAATGACAAAAATTATAATCAACAGTATGCTCCTTACTGGGAAACTATTTTTATTTCTGCAGATCACATAATTATTACATACATCCCTTAAAAGGGCCCAATTTGAAGTAACATATTATAGAGTTCAATTTTCACATTGTTGAGATATTAAAAGGTTTATCAATGGTCTTTTTACGGGTTCTTCTTCTGGCGATGGAAAGTTCAATTGCTTCTCCCCTAAACAAT